AAGACTAAGAAGACAGTTGATTCCTAAAGGAGGTATTAGAGAGTTAATTAAAAGTTTTAATCTTCCTCAAACGGAAAACAAATCTCATCCCCTGAAATTGCTTTTTCTTCATGGAATGACGTAAAATTCAAATGCTACTGAAATAATTTTTTTTCTTTATCTGTGTCCTCTTTTACTAGCAAAACGATGCCATCTTTTACATTCAGTTTGGATCAAAATCCAAGCAGTACTGCATTCACCTTCAGTGAGATGAAGAAAAAAAACCCTCAGCTCATTTATTTCTGAACAAGGAGCACCATCTTCTGGCCATAGAATGGAAATATTCTCAAAAATTGAATCAAAATTTTCTCGATCATCCCAGAGTGCAGGACACAGAAAAATGGGTTCAAGTTAAAGCCAGTGTTAATATCTGCTATTCATATTTGTGTGTGTATTCTTGTACCATCAAGTCAGACTTACAGCAGCCCTAACAGGGCTTTCAAGTTAAGTGAGATATTTAAGGAATGGTTTTACCAGTTATAGGGGACGTGGTGGCGCTGTGGGTTAAACCACAGAAGCCTTTGTGCTGCAAGATCAGAAGACCAGCAGTCGTAAGATCAAGGCCACATGATGCAGGGGGGTTGGACTTCATGGCCTTGTAGGCCCCTTCCAACTTCACTTTTCTATGATTCTATGATACTAAGAAATTGCACGATAGCCTTTTAATTGTCTTATAAGTATGTTCTGCCTGAAACTCTATTTATGTGTTTATACTTAATTTTCCAGCCAGTGTTAATATCTGCTATTCATATTTGTATGTGTATTCTTGTACCATCAAGTCAGAATTGACTTACAGCGGCCCTAACAGGGCTTTCAAGTTAAGTGAGATATTTAAGGAATGGTTTTACCAGTTATAGGGGACGTGGTGGCGCTGTGGGTTAAACCACAGAAGCCTTTGTGCTGCAAGATCAGAAGACCAGCAGTCGTAGATCAAGTCCACATGATGCAGTGAGCTCATGTTGCTTGTCCCAGCTCCTGCCAACCTAGCAGTTTGAAAGCATGCAGATGCGAGTAGATAAATAGGTACAAACACTGTGGGAAGGTAACAGCGTTCCGTGTCTAGTCACGCTGGCCACGTGACCACGGAAACTGTCTTCGGACAAACACTGGCTCTATGGCTTGGAAACGGGGATGAGCACTTTCTCCTAGAGGTGGACACGACTGGACTAAATGTGAAGGGGAACCTTTACCTTTACCAGTTTACCCACTCTCCCAGTGAATTTCCATGGCCAAGTAGGGATATGAACCCTCATCTCCAGAGTCCTAGTCTCTCTATCCACTACATCGCATTGGGAATTCATACTTAAGCCATGCACATTTATATTTAGTTATCTTACTAACTCAGAGTCTTCATTTGGGTTATATCTTCAGCCTGTACCATCCTTAGCCTATGCCATCTTCACTATTCACTTCATGAAACTGGTGGAAAAATTGTGTTGTGCCTTTGAAAACCCCTGTTACGGAACAATTCATTTAGTTAGAGTTAAGTTCCATAAAAGTTACTACTGTAATTTCCATTTTAGGTTGAAACTTCCCACCTCAGTCTCCAGGTGTTGTGGAGGATGCAAGATATACAAGAATCCTCTTGGTAATCATAGAATGCCATGGCTAATTGTGGCTAATTGACAACTGATGTTATCGAGGCACTACACTGCAATTTTCAGCATGCATACATTACTGAAACAGCAACGTCTACGCTGGCTTGGGCACGTTCTGAGAATGACTGATGGTCGGATTCCAAAGGATCTCCTATATGGAGAATTAGTGCAGGGAAATCGCCCCAGAGGGAGACCACAGCTGCGATACAAGGATATCTGCAAGCGGGATCTGAAGGC